CTGATTAAAAATTACTTTAAAAACTTCAATAGAAGCTTGGAAGATAAAATTGAGGGAGTCTGTCAAAAAGTAGAACCAAATAAAAGGACAAAAGGTAGGAATTTTAATAAAAAGAAAATTAGAAGAACAGTCAAGGATGTCCAATATTATTATCAACTCTTCCACAAAGAGAAAACTGAAGGTGGAAATCAAACAATAATAGAAGAAAATGTTCTAGAGTCAAAGGGCAGGGATTTTGGATGGAAAGGCTCATTAAATGCTCAACCGAAGTCTCACCAATGCTCAGTGGATAAAAATGGAACCACACTAAGGTATGTCACTGAGAAACTTAAGATCGCCACAGTAAATGAGAAGAGCCAGCAAGTTTTCAGGGAGGAAAAGCAGGTCACAAATGATTAAGAATTAGAATGATTCTCAATTTCTGAACAGCAGAAAATAATGGAGTAATGTCAAAATTCTGAAGGAAAATGAATTTCCAATGCTGAATTCTATTCAGTCAAATGATTCATAAAGTGTCAGGGAGAAAAAATATATTTACCGACATGCTTGGTTACAAACCATTTATCCCCCTGAATCCTTCTTAGGGAACTATTAGAAGATGTGTGCAAACCAAGAAAAAAGAAGAAAAAGAAAAGAAGAAAAAAAAAGAACCAAGAAGGACAACACAGGACATAGCTAACAACATTGGAAAGATCCAGCCCAGGACAGAAGGGGATTTGCAGAATGCCAGCTGGGCACCAGCTGCAGAAGGCTGGCCCCTCTGCAATGGAGCAGGTCAGAAGGCTCCAGAAGAAACGAAGATAACTAAAGAAGAGCTAAGATCAAATTAGTGATCAATATAAACTAAGTGAACTCTGGGAACAGATTGCTTAGGCAAGCAAAAGTTGTTGTGGTTTATTACTACATGACTCGGTTATGACTAATATTTAAGAATGTAAACACTGATTATAGATCTAATCAAAATGACTACAACTGTATTGAGCAGACAAGGAATGGAAAAGGCAATAAGCAAGAGTAGTTGGGTGGTGGGGGTTGGGTTTAATCCTCACTTTTTATAGAAAGAATTCGATGAATAATGTCTAAAATTGAAAAGTCTAGAGGTAGCAACAAACATGTTACTTAGAGACACGGAAGCAAATATACCAAGTAATCAGCTAAGAGAAGAGAAAGTGGTTACTTCTGGAAAGGGGGGAAGAAGCCACTATTGTTCATAATAAACCTTGGAGTTTCATTAAACTAAATATATATGTTACTTTGATAAAAAATACTGAAAATAAAAGACAAAAACAGAATAAACTCCAAAAAAGCTTAAGGAAAGAAACAGTGAAGAACAAAAATTAATGAAATAAATAAAAAACAGAAAGGATCAGCAAAGTCAAATGTTTATTCATTTAAAAGTCTAATAAAAAAGATAAACCTCTGACAAGACTTACACAGAAAAAAATAGAAGAAGTAAATATTATTAGAAATTCATTCTTTCACTCAATATATACTGAGATCTGGTATGCTAAGGATGTAACAGCAAACAAGACAAAGGTACAACTAAAATAAAAAGTAACCTCTATAGTTTAATAGATAATAAATTATAAAAGGCATTAGCAACTACTCAAATTAAGGGATCAGTAGTCTTCTGTTAAGTTTACTTCCTTCCTTACTCCTTCCTTCATGGATGTAAGGGGAGAAAAGAGTATTTAAACAGAACACAGAAAACACTAAGAATAAAGATCATAAAGGCCAATATACTATATTTTACTTCATTAAGAACTTCTGTTCATGAAGAAAAAGACAAGATAAGCTGACATACATATTAACTGATAAAGTGTAGATTCCTGAATATATTAGCATATACAACTCCTATGAGTGAATAGAAAAAGATAAACTATAATAGCAAAATGAGCAAAGATTAGAAATATGTAAGTCACAGAGCACAAATAATCAATACATGAAAAGATGTTCAACTTCACTAATAATGAAGGAAAGGCAAATTAAAACTGTAAGATACCATTTCTCAGGAATGGGACTCACAGAATTTTTTAAAAGTCTGACAGTTCCAAATTTTGGCCAGGATGTTAAGTCATAGGAATTTGCATCAACTATTAGTGTATTTTGGAATAGCTAATTTGACCAGCAATCTGGGAAAATCTGGAAAAGTTGAAGGAGCAGATGCCCTTAAACCCAGTATCTCCAAATCTATGAATACACCCAAAGAAACTCCCAAACAAGGCCTAGGTAAATAAGAAAATATGTATGAGAATATTCAGGTCAGCATCATGCATAACAGCAAAGAGTCTGGAAACAACTTACACATCCAGCAACAGAAGAGTGGGTAAATTATAGTCACTGATGGGACATCAAAGTGCAGTTAAAAAAACAGAGCTACTGCCTCAACATGGATTTGAAAAAAGCAAGTTGTGGAAAGTTATCTACGGTATGGTACATATTTATCAAGTTTTAAAGTATGCAAAGGCAAAGAAACATTGCTAGAGCCTCCAATGTTTGTGGCAAACCCACAAAGAGAAGCATAGGAGGTGCTGCAGGTGTAAAAATCAAGCTAGTGGTTCTCTCTGGTAGGAGAGGAGGGCGGTGTGTCAAAGAGGGCACAGTGACTCTCAAACCTGCTGCTGTATTCCATCTCCTAAGCTGGATGGTGGAGTATGGGACTGTTTCCTTACCGTTCTTTAAACTGTTCAAAGATATTCATATTCTTTTGTATATATGAGGTACAGTATCCAAAATAAATTTATTTTAAAGTGAAAAAAGGAAATGATAATGGTTATGTGTAGAAATTACATGTAAGAGCAATAAATAAGAAATGTTCTTTAAAAGAAATTCCCAGTAAATTTAAGGGAAAAAAATGCAGATAAAATCGGAAATGAGAAAGAGGATGTAATATATAATGTTAAAATTATAGGCAAGTACTATGCATAGATGTAAACTAATACATTTTATAGCTTGAAAAAGATAAGTTCAAGTTACAGGGTAAAAGGTACGACTGAAATAAAAAGTAACCTCTACAGTTTAATAGATAATAAATTATAAAAGGCATTAGCAACTACTCAAATTAAGGGATCAGTAGTCTTCTGTTAAGTTTACTGAGTGAACTATTTCTAAGTAATTAAATTTATTTTGGAGAAGGGAAGAAATGCAACAGTCTAAGGGTCAGATGCGTCTTGTGCTGGCTTCACACCAATCCTGACTTGTCACTTAATAACAACACTAAATCAGTCCAAATTAGTTAACCATACTGAGGTCAGTTTCCTGTAAAATGGGGTTAATATGATTAACACCACAGATTAAATGGGGCTACAAACACAAACCCATCCCCAAATCTCCCTGCACAGTGCTGATCACAGATGCTCAAATAACACCACTCTCCCCTCTACTATCTTGTGGCTCAGAGAACAGAAACATTAAAAAGGAAGCTATCTATCAGAAGGATGGATAGATATCTTTTTCTGGCACCTAGTAAGTGGCACAGACTTGTTGCCTGGGAATATAGAGAACATGACAGTTTAGTGGCTCTTACTTATTTTGAGGAGCCCATTTTGTCTGGCAGCTTAAGGCCAGGGGTGTGTTTTTTCCCTTTAGCCCCCAGTATTCTGCAGAGCATTTTTCTTACTATGTTTAAAAATAAACATAGTAAGAAAAAACATAGTCTTGAACTCCTGACCTTAAGTGATCTCCTTGTCTCAGCCTCCTGAGTAACTGGGTTCACACCTAGCCCCTAGGATATTTAAATTCCATAACCGACTGGGTTCTAGCCATTCTAGGTTATATAGTCATTTACTATAGGATATAAATTCTTACCTACTTCACTGGGTACTGTGAAAAATCAATAACAAAGGGTTTGTGAAAATATTTTGCCGCCTGAAAAATGCCTGCTGAAAGTGAAACGTTGTAGTGTCTTAGATAAGGCACTAAGCTCTCTAGAATACTTGGGTTGAAGGGAAAAGACACACCCTGGCCTTAAACTACTGGATGCAATGGGCTCCTCAAAATAAGTAACAGCGACTAAACTGTCCCAAGTCTATGCCATTTACTAGGTGCCAATCATTGTGCTAGGTGTGAACATTACAGCAAAATATGCAACAAACCTGGTCCTCATGGCGCTTGTAGTCTAGCATGGTAGCTGGCAAAAGGCAGAGGACAGTTAAATGATCACATGGATCAACAAACATGGAGAGGAACTTGAAGAAAAGTGCAAAGTTTAGCTAAAAGAGGTGCCTCAGTAGGCACTTGATAACTGGCTCTCAAGATAACTTGCCCTGCTGTGTGTCATCCAGTGTGGTTCCTCCTCATGAGAGAAGTGCAAGCAGAGGCCACACTGCCAGATGCTGAACAGGACACTCACACGTGGGAGAGGAAGAGAACTGCCCAGATGACAATTAAAGTCTTTTTTGAACTGAAGACTATTTTTTTTTGTTTTGAGACAGAGTCTCACTTTGTTGCCCAGGCTAGAATGAGTGCCATGGCGTCAGCCTAGCTCACAGCAACCTCAAACCGTGGGCTCAAGCGATCCTTCTGCCTCAGCCTCCTGAATAGCTGGGACTACAGGCATGTGCCACCATGCCCGGCTAATTTTTTTATATATGTATATTAGTTGGCCAATTAATTTCTTTCTATTTATAGTAGAGACGGGGTCTCGCTCTTGCTCAGGTTGGTTTCAACCTCCTGACCTTGAGCAATCTGCACGCCTCGGCCTCCCAGGGAGCTAGGATTACAGGCGTGAGCCATCACGCCTGGCCTGAACTGAAGACTATTAATGGATATCAAACAGTAAAAGGAGAAAAATAATGGAGAGGAGGCACAAACCGCCACAAGAAAGGAGTGCTACATTTTGGCAGTGCACCCTGTGACAAATGTGGCCACAAGGTGTTATGGTGAACAAAAGCGAAAAGAGCTCATTTCTCCATCCACAGGCCTAGCACATTTGCTGAGCCTCTGTGCCGACCCCACTCAGCTGGGCTCCTCCCAACACGTCCCATATGCCTGATTCTTACCAGGACAGAAGCCTCCCGAGGCATCCTCTGGCATCCATTTATCCCCTTTTCCCAGCTGGGAAAACATATCTGGTTTGGGTCCTAAGAGTCCTGTTGTTGAGGGGGAAAAAAAAAAGAAACACATCTGTTCATATCAGAGATAAAAATCACTGCAAGGATAAGGCCTGGTCCTCAGACTTTCCTAGAAAGGGTGGCTTAATAGAAAAGCCCAGGGTGGAGATGTGTTCCTAGCAGGAGGAAAAGATGGCTCAAGCCTGACACAATCTGTTCCCATGTCCCTCTCCCTGCCAGAAAGGAAAGATCTGGCCCCTAGTCTCTTTTCAGGCATCTGTACTTGGACTCCTAGAGGGCCAGGCCCAGGATACCAAGGACAGGGAAGTTGCAGCCTTGAAGACAACATCCTCAACTGGCCCATTTCCAACTCAGTCTTCTATATGGTATCAGTTTAAGGGTCCCAAAGAGATCCCCCAAAAGGAAGAGGAAGCTTCTGAGGCTCCCATCTTACCCAGTGAGACCAGGTGGCTGTAGTTCTCCAGCATCACATCCCTATACAGCGCCTTCTGGGCTGGCCTCAGGTGCCCCCACTCTTCCTGGGTGAAGAGCACAGCCACATCCTTGAAGGTCACCAATCCCTGTAACAGCAATCATTCTCACTGGGCACGGCCTGCCCTTCATGTGGTTCTGTGGAACAGACCGAGTCCGACAAACCCCGGGAGCTCACAGAGATTTATGGGACTGTTAGCACACGGGGTGCTGGCGTATTGTGACAAGTTGACCTTTTTCTCAGGGTCTCCTGAGGACCTCACTTTGTACTAGACTTTGTTCCCCACTTTGGAAAAAACACATACTGTAGTGAAGATCTGCTTCCTCAGCACTGGGACCTCACACCTGCTGTTCATTTGCTCAGAATATTCTTTCTCATCTCCCTCAAACTGCCCAGTCCTGCCTCCGCCCTCACCCCACAGGACCAAATCCTACTGGTGTCTCAGCGTAGACATTAATTCCTCAGCATGGCCTTCCCAGACCACTCCTGGAGTCACCTATATGGGCCCATCAAAGCACACTGTCTCATTTTATTTGTGGCTTTTGGTTTACTTACAGTCTCCCTCAGTAGACTGTTACCTCCAAGAAGGTATGGACCATTTCTACAGGCCTTGTCTTCCCACCTCTAGAATGTGGCCCATGTAGTCAGACCTACTGTCTGTTCTCATCAACTCCTGCTTTTCTTCAACTCTCACCTGCCCAGCCCCAACATACATGCAAGTGCATGCACATGCACCCCATGGAAATGGTCATTCCATACAATGGGATCTTGTCCCCTCTGACTATAACTAGTCCCTTCCTTGGAAACTCTGAGAAAGGGACAGAGAGAAAACAGTCTCCCTTAGCATACCTGGAATCTAACATGTAAAAGTCAGTAGTTATTACAGCTCTGGTCTTACTAGCTGGCTGAGAAGTCAAGGGAGCTGGTGTACACTGAGAAAGAAGAGGGAAGCAGAAGCCCGAGGGTCCAAGAGAAGAGACTTTCAGATTATTCTAGACCCCACTTCCACAGCCAATGTCCAGTTGTATTTTTGCCTTTGTATTTGGGGAAATACCTCAGCATATTTCCAATAAATGCCTGCTCTTGCCTAAGATAGTCTGAGTCAGGTTTCCATTACCTGCACTCAAAGCCTTGGACATGGCGGGCAGTCAAGAAACACTTACTGGATGGAAGCTATGAATCAGTTTGCTAACTTTTGTATTGCTAGCATAGATCATAACACCTGGCCATTTAACAGACCTAATATATGTCTGTTGAATGGCAACCAAATTAAGGCAGCCTGAAAACATGAGATAAACTGTGTGACACTGACAATGACTTTGAGGAAAAGGTTATGGAAGGGAAATATCACAGCAGACTGGCACGACAGGTGGAGACACGCTAAACAGAATGGGGTGCCTGAGATAGGTCCTAGTGGACAAGTCAGAAACCTGGAGGAAAAGTGTGAGCAGGCACTGAGCTGTGGCTGTACTGACATAGCACCTTCACCTGGCTACGCAGCCCTTCCAATGATTCCTACCACACATTCCTGTCCTGGGAAGGTTTAAATGTGAAGGAATTAGAACAATATTACCAAATGCATCAGAATTTATACACTCAAATGCTGCCTCTTCAAAGTGGAGTCCATACTTATTCTAAAGAGATTGGGACTACTCAAAGCTTTTTAGGAATTTATTGAACTCCTTGGAAGCACAGTGTTTTGAATTATTCCATTGGTACCCAATATTCCTCTGAAGTAAAAGCCAAATGTCATTAAAAAAACAAAAGGCCAGTAAATCTCACATTCCCTAGAAAGTGCTTTTTCTGACCTTCTCTGAGCTCTTGTGTGTGGCACCGCCCTTACCACTTTGGACCCTAATTGTACTTGCTAGTGGCAAGTGTGCAGGTTTTCATTTCACATGGACCTGGATTCCAGACCCAATTGTATCACTTATGTGACCTTTAGCAAGCTACTTTAGCAAGCTAGTGAGCTCCAACACCTACCATGATGAGCCTGATAAGGAGATGGGTGGGGGTGGGGATGGCTGCTGAGGTCAGGTGTCTGGGGGAGCCTGGATTGGGAGAAAAGCTCCTGGTCGGGGAGAAAACATGCCCACACGGTTCAAATCCAGAAGGCAATTTAAAGGGGAGGAAACCCCCACATTAACTCCCACTCACCTGGACCATGGTTGGCAGGTGGCTGACAGCCATTCTTTCTTGATGAGCCCTCTTAGGGACAGGCTAGGTGCTGAGGAGGCAGGTGTGGAGCTTTGCAATTACAGGACTCCTCAGGCTAGAAACATCTACACACCAGTTATGCGGAGAGGACTGGGTCAAAAGATCTCACACGGCAGTCCTGAGCAAGGCTGTGAGCATTCACATACTGGAAGTCTCCAGTATCCCCAAGCAACCAATTCTTTGGTCCCTGTTTGCTCCCAATTCTCTCTCCTGCTGAAGGTATTTCCACTTGCCTCCACTGGAAAGTGAACGACTCACCATCCTACTACTTTCCCTGTTAGTCAGATCCTCCATGTCTTCCCTTCTGTATCTATCCCTTCTGTACGTGACTTCTTGCACAAAGTTTGCTCCAGTCCCAGTTCTCACGCTTTCTACCCACCCTCCGGCCTCACTGAGGTTTCAAGAGAATTGTGTCTCTTCCTGGAACAGCTGCCTAATCCTGGGAGGGGAGTGGAAGAAGAGGCGTTGGAGGGTCGTCTTCTTTCTCCTCAAAAACAAGGCTGGATCTTCACAGTCCAACTCTTTCAGTACAAGCCTCTTCTCTGGCCTCAGGCTTCTCATTCGCTGGGGCCCAATATGGTTGACCTGGAGTCAAAAGACAGCCAGAAGCAGCGCATTTGTGTGTGTTGGGGGTGGGGGAGATTAGAAATCACATTCACACAACACACCCTTCCACCCCCCGCCCCCCCCACTCTGCCAGGTCCCGGGAGGAGCTGCTGCAAGGCCTGCACAGCGGTGTCCCTGCCCTTCCGAGTTCCTCATGCAGAGCTGAGAACCACACCAGGCGCATATCTGTCAACTCAGAGTAAGGAGTTTCCCGGAGTCAGCTCCAACACACACGCCGGAGGCCCTGAGCCCATCCTCCTCCACATGCACTCACAGATTCCGACCCCAAATCCAAGATGCCCATAGCGGGCTATCCTCCCTTTTTCTGCTAGGAATCAAATCTCAGACACACATTCCGGGAAGTTTGGGGCATTAAATCAGCGTGCTCCAGAATGGACCACCACCTGGACCTCCTAGGCTTTTCCCTCCACCTTCTCCCCAGGCCCGACTACCCCATGACTGCGCTCGCTCTCCCTCGGACTTGGCCGCCGCGCCTGGTCAGCCCTGGGTTGCCCTTCCAGGAGCCTCTGCCGGCGGCGGGAGAGCGCCACCGCCACTTCGCTGTCGGAACACAATGAGCAGGGGACTGCAGCCAGGATAAGAACTGCGCTTGCGCGTTGCCCTGGGAGCCGCTGAGCCAAACTCCCACAAGCCTCAGAGCTGTGACAATTCTGCTGCCAGACTCCACTTCCCAGAGGGAGCCTCTGCGGCGACAGTGGTGCTGTGCGCCTGCGCACAGGGGCCCCGCCCGCAGCCTCGGGCAGAGAGTCCCCGGACGCCGGAACTACCTTTGCCAGGCGGTGTCCCTCCAGGCTGCTAACCCCCTGCGCTCACAGCTGGGGCGGATTTGGTTCCGTCCTGTTCCCATTCTGACTCGGCTTCTGCCTTGAAATAATGCTCGAGAAGACACGGACAAGCAAAACGTTGACGGCGGGACAAAGGAGCTTAGTGCAGGAGAGCGGCGCCTGCTCGCAGACGAGAGCGGATCCGGGAACGCCCCGAGGAAAGAGAAAGAGGCTATAAGCTGACCAGGCGCGTTCCGACGGAGAACCGCACCGAAAAGACTTGGAAAGGCGCAGAATTGCGCCCTTGCCCCCGAGCAAGCAACCGATACTTTCTGGCCTGGCTGTGGGGCCAGTGCCTGGTCCAGTGGACGTGATAGTATTTCGGGAGGACAAGGATGTTGGACCGGGACATACTGTGGCGGCGACTCAGGATAGAACTGATGGTGGCTGGAAACAGAGTAGCGGCCAAGGGGACCGAGAGTGGGGCACGAATAGACTTTGTTCTTGGTGACTTATCAGATGTTAGGATGAGGGAGAGAAGGAGCCTGGACGTCAAGCAGTCTCTGTCTTGGACAGTTTGGTGTTATTTGTTGACCATATTTTGTGGGGATGGGCAGGGATAAGATAATATTTTGAATACGTGATTTCCATGGAGATAAAAAAGGAACAATAAGAAGGTTTTAACTTTGTTGATGGTGGAAAAAAAGAACATGACCTGAGGTTTATGAATTAGGGGATATTGGCCACCTTTTAGGGAGCAGTGTTAATGGCTTTATGTGACACTACAGCATTTTGTTTGTGGTGTCGACGGAAAAAAGCCAAACTCTGTAAAATAATTTTAAAGAGATTTATTCTGAGCCAAATTTGAGGACCATGACCCGGAGCCACTGCCAAGAGGCCTTGGGGAAGTGGACTAGCAGTGGCTGGGTTACAGTTCAGTTTTATACGTTTTCAGAGAGACAGGGGTTACAGGCAAAGTCACAGATCAATATGTGAGAGGCATACATTGGTTTGGCCCAAAAAGGTGGGCCCCACATCTCGAAGTGGGGGCTTACAGGTTATAGGTGGGTTTAAAGATTCTTTGGCTGGCAATTGGCTGAGAGAGTTAGTCTTTATCTAGAAGACCAGAAAGGATATGCTTACTTTAAGATAAGGGTATGAGCACTCTGGGAGGTCCAGACAGGAGGACACTTTAAATTTACAATAGGCGCCTGCTAGGATGTTTTAAAATGCTTTAAATTTAAGAATAGGCATCTGCTAGGATGCTTGAGTTAAGACTGGGGCTTCTTATCTTTTAGGTGATGTTAATGCCATACCAGAATCAGGTCAGGAAGTAAACCACTGCTTCGTTTGGTTAACAAAAGCCGTTTAGTGGGAATTTACTGTTTGTCAGCCTAACCCTGCTGGCCTCCTTACCATTTGCCAGCCTAACCCAGCTGGCCTCCTTAGGAAGGAGTTTTTAGCAAAAAATTAGAGTTCAGTCCTCAGTGGTCTTACTGATTTCATTCCGTAGACACTTATGTGTCAGGCACTATTCTAGGGGCTGGAGAAGTAGCTGTGACAACCCTGTGCTCATGGAAGTTATCAGGTAGTGTTTACACAGTACAGCTGTGCTAGGGGTTAAGGTGTGACAGGGTGGGGGATTTTAAGTAGTGTTGGGGGAAATTTTTTTGAGGAGGTAACATCTGAGCAGAAATTTGAATACAGTGAGGGAGGAAACTATGTGAATATCTGCAGGAGAGCCTTCTGAGGAGAGGGGACAGAAATCTTGTCCAGAGAGAGATAAGTGTGCTTGGTGAGTTTCAGGCTTGGCAAGGCTAGAATTCTTGGTGAGGGCATAGTGAACAAAGGAGTGTGCAAGATGCGGTTGCAGAGGTAACTAGAAGCCTTGAAAGCCATCATAGAAATTTTGGATATATTCTATGTGATGGGAAACCATTGGAGGGGTCTGAGCCAGAGTCACATGGCTGAGCACATTTTAATAGAATCACTGGTCAGCTTCTGGGAGAACAGACTATGGTGGGGCTAGAGGGGAACAAGGAAACCAGTAAGGAGGCAGTTACAGCAGATCAAGTGAGGGATAACCTCCCACAGTTATATAACAAGGCATTTGTTTTGAGAGCCTAGTGATTCTAAGATAATTAAGAGTTCTGGATGCCATGCTAAGGAGTTTGTAATTGTTATGTCTTCAGGTAAATGCGTATGATTAATAATACTGAATACTAACTACATGTTGGGCACTTTTATAAGCACTTTATATTATTATCTAATGCAACCCAAAGCTATGAGGTTTGCACTATTAACAAATGAGAAAACTAAGACACTGACACCTTAAACTTAAGCCTTGCCTGAGGTCCCATGTCTAGTAAGTAGAACGAGTAGTCCTGCTCCTGCTGACAAAGGAAAGGTGCAAAGGTGTCCTCATTACTGTTGCCTAGGATGGCTGAAAGCTGACATACATGGGCCCAAGTCTTCCAAAACGGAAAAAAGTGGTGAAACCTCCATTTATCTGAACCATTTATCCTGGTGATGCTATAGTCTGTTAGGAGTACCTAGCAGGGACCCTTCCACAGGCAATTAAACAAACAAACAAAACTCAAGAATTCAAACTGAAGAGAAACTGTGAAACCTCTGAAGTCTAGTACACTTTTGGTCTAGCCAGGACTCACACACTGACTCAACTGTTCTGAGCACTTACCAGATCCCACCCCCCAACCAGCCCTCCGAGACACACACCAAGGATTCTCATCATGATCCACTCTCCTCAGAGACACGTGGTCTGTAGGACACCTTGTCCTGTCTGATCTCACTATTAATCATGGATATGCAAATGAACTTATATTTGACCAAGATCTGCATCCCCCCCACCCCCACCAGCCCTGCTTAAATACTCTTCCTCAGGACAGTGGCTACTTGCTAGTAGTTCCTGGTATTCCTTTGTTGGGCCTTGCTGGGACCCTTGCAGGATGATGTAATAAGGTCTTCCTTTAGCTTTCTTTCCTGTTGCTTCTCGACTTCTACTTCATGCTCCAATCATAGACCATGTAGAATTTCCTAAATGTACACTGTGCCTTCTTGCCATCACGGCTGCTCTTCCCTCCATCTTGGCATTTCCTCTCCTATCTGCTCTGCACCCAACTGGTTCACTCCCATAGCAACAGCTCCTTGACAACAGGATCAGAGGTCAATTCATAGAAGCTGAGCTATGCTATGAGCTCAATAAATATTAGGTGCATGAATGAATTACACTAGGAGTAGGAACAGTATCTTTCTCATCCTTGTGCTTCCAACATGCTGCACAGGCAAAGCACTCTTAAGAAGTCTGTTGACTGTAGGCAGGAATTGAATTCTGCCAATATGTACAGGAAGTAACCTACCTCGATTCTATCCTTAAGCATTCATCAAATTTTCAGTCCCTTCCCCTCCAGATCTTTTGTGACTTTTTTAGGAGCCAGAGGCCAGTGCCCATGAGCATGCAGATGTTGGGGGTTATGCACAATCTAGGAGGAGGATAACTTATTCTGCAGCACCACCTCTATTCTCCACCAATCACAATTTAGGAGAGAACACCGTATTCTGCAGCTCCACCTCTATTCTCCACCAATCAGAGTCTTTTGAGTCATGACCCACCCATAGAGAAAATAGTACTTTCATCACTCGCTTCTCCGTAGTTCCAGAGGGCATTGTTTCTTGCTATCTTTGAAGTTATCCTACTGCATCTAAATGGCTACTTGCTAGTAGTTCCTGGTGTTCCTTTGTTGGGCCTTGCTGGGACCCTTGCAGGATGATGTAATAAGATCTTCCTTTAGCTTCCTTTCCTGTTGCTTCTCGACTTCTACTCCATGCTCGAATCATAGACCATGTAGAATTTCCTAAATGACTCCCCTATCATGAGCTTCTTTAGAGTTCTAGATCTCCAGCAACTACTGAGTAGGTGCTCAGGAAATAATTTCATGACATACTGGTCATACCCATTACATTTTGCTTTACCCAGGACTGACTGCATGGGCAATGGCTACATGGTAGCCCTTCTTCCTACCAGCTGACTGAAAAGGGGATGGGTACTTGGCCAGAAAGAGTGACTTGTGAGGCCTGTCTTTAAAAGGTGATCTGGACCAACTGAGTTTCTTTCATGGAATTTTAGAATTAGGACAGAGAGACTGGGGAGTCAGAAAGGAAATGAAAGTTCACTAGATATGACCTTTCTCAAATGTGAGGGCTGATGCTGACATTTTGGGTCATGTGCAGCTTTAATGGTAAGCAAGGGAAGCCAACCATCAGTGAGCCAATGGAAAGAGCAGCAAGAGCCCATGTGCTGGTGGTAGCAGTGGCGAGGGGTGAGGATGAAGAGAGAGGGAGAGAGGGCACATAAATATCCTTGGCTGCTGGTGGCTCCCAGTTGCCATGAGATCTGGCTATACCATATTTCATGTCACAAGAAAAACCTTTTTTTCTCAAATACTACCAAAAACTTCAGTTCTACTTAAGAATGGACACCTAAGTGAAGGGCTTGGGCTTAACAAGAGGATTTGACAAGAGTCTTCTCTCCCAAACCCTTATACTCTGAATGCTCTTTCCAGGTGTTTCCCAAATAAACAGCATCCTTTCCCCTATTCCAAGATTGGATGCTTGAGAAGAATGAGATAAATCTCTGACATGGAGCTTCTCCACTCTTCCACACACACTCTGTCTTGACTCAGCATGCAGATCCTGGGTCTCCTTGACTACAAAATATAAACTGCTGGAGTTAGAAAAGGCAAAGAAAGGAAATAAAACACTGAACTGATAATATCCTCAGAAACACAGGTGTTTAATCATCTCTATCTCTTCACTCAGTCTCCCTTCACACTTTTTATACCCCTGATCTCAAGAGATATAAATGGAGAACAAAAGAGGCAGAGAGGAGGCAAAGGTAGAAAATAGATGAAAATGATAAAGAAAGCAGCAAAATAAAGGACCTAAAGGAAGGCACATGGCAAGGAAAAGAGGGAGAAATGAAGGCATTGAAACCTAGGATGGATGCGATGACTCAAAACTGATAGACTAGTAACCTTGAGAAGTCACATAGCTCAGAGACTGAGTTGCTGAAGGGCCAAAGAATTCATGGGAATTTCCTCCACTGCCATCACAAACATCTTCTGTACCCATTGCATCTTGATTCCTGCCTCACAGTGGAAAGTTACCTTCCTCCTGTTGAAAGATTCCTAAAGGCTCCACCTGTGCTCCAAATATTATTTTCCCGCTTTTAGCTGCACATTCCTGTACCTTCCGACTCTCCCATGCCTCTTCTTTTAAGTTATGAACTTACTCAATCTTACCTTAAATCATACAAACACACCCTTGCAGGTTGTTGGCTGGCTCAATCAACACCATTCTCAACACCCCTTTTCTATGCCTACTTCCACTATTGAGGCTAGATGGGTTAACTACTTCTATGCTCAACCTCCCTTGCTGCCATGGAACACAGTTGTCATCAATGAGGCGTAATCAGGAGTCTATTGAGGGGCTTCTGGGAAAATGTTCCTGATAAAAGGCACTGATGTTGCTGTTGCTACCCACCCCCTTTCTTCCTGCCTTGAATGCAGATAGTGGACCTGAATCTATGGCTGCCATCATATGACCATGATGGAAACTCCATGAAACTCAATACACTGAATTATTTTGTCTGTGAACTAGTGCCGAGCACCTCCAGATTTATTTTGTGAGATAAATAAATCCCTATTTGTTTATGCCATTGTTGACTGGGGTTTCCATTTATTGTAGGCAAAGCCTTCAGATAGATATGCCCTCTCTCAACCCTAGCCTCCTTCTATTTATGTTTCTAAACTTCTCCTGAAAATCCTTTTCAACATTAAACTCCCTCTTCGACCCAATAAAATTTACAGAGGTTTTTAATGATCTTTTTGTTTAAGACAGGGTTTTGCTATGTTGTCCAAGCTAGCCTCAAACTCCTGGCCTCAAGCGATTGTCCTGTCTTAGCCACTAAAGTAGTTGGGACTACAGGTGCATGCCACCACACATGGTTTAAATCATCTGTTTCAAATCAATACCGAAAACCAAATGACATTTCTATACTACTTTACTCTCCATAGCATATGACAATACTAGCTATTTATAACCCTGTGTCAGAATTTTCTTTTTACTTCTGAAGCAACACCTTCTCCTGTTTTTTTTTTTTTTTTTGGCTATTTATTCCTCTCAGCTTCTACTGATTACTGTCACCTCCACTTACCCACTCAGTGACAGCACTCTTAGCATATCCTTTAACACTGACCTGTTTCTTCTCTTCACTTGGATGTCCCAAAGAATCATTGAAATACTCCCAAACTGAACTCTTGCTCCACAAAACTAGTTAACTTTATGTGTTTTTAATTATGCCACCTCTGTCCACCCAAATGAGAAATTCAAGTCATCTTCAACTTTTCCTTCTCATTCAAGTGGCCATATTTAACGAGTTACCTAGTCTTCTAGATTCTGCCTCATTATTGCTTAAATTCTTCCTTTCTTCTCCCACCACACTGCCACTTTATTAGTTTAGCCCTTGGAAAACAAGAATATTTTATTCATTTTGATTTTCTAAACATGTCCAGTACATATTTAGAACTTGGTAAATGTGTGTGAAATAAATGAAACCATCTTAACTACTGTAATAACCATAGATGTATAAAATCTCCCAATGATTGTTCTGAATATGTTTTGAGTTGCAAAGTTTTGTTAATATGTCAGATTTTTTCCATGTCCATTAGTGTTCAGCTCCTTTCTTCTCCTTCTCACTTGATAGCCAAAATATGATATAAAGATATGTATTTATTTGATTTCTATGTACTTAAATACTATATTTAAGTTATATTGTTTTCTAAATAATCAGCTTATTTAACAACAGTTTAATATTGAGAACTCAAAACAGCATGCTAGTGCATTAATATCCATTCAATTATTCCATCACCTTGTAGTAACCAGCCTACGTTTCAGAGGAGAAAATAACAATGGAGGAAAGGGAGACATGGAAGGGTAATAGGGGTTGGTAGATGTGGAAAATTTTGAATCAAAACATCCAAAGAAACCGGACTGTGGAATAGGAACATCTAGACAACCTATATAACAGTAAAAGTTCAAGAATTTCCTAGCATTCATTATATTTACAGGTATGTAGCACTTAGAGCTTATAGGGATCCTGCAAATCTTCTAAATCCAAAATCACTCATTTACCAGATAAGGAAATTGTGACCTGGTGAAAGTAGGTGACTTATCCATTTAGTGATGAATCAGAACTACACACCAGGTCTTTTGGGGATGTCCACTCTCACATTTTCTCTCCAGTGTCAAGTCTCTGATATCCAAAGCAGATCTGCAGTATGATATAACAGAACTTATCTTCAGCATGACTCTTCATTGTTTATAACATTAGCTACTTCAACTTTCTGATATAAAGTAAATTTTACCTTCTAAATTACGATTTATCCACTTTTATATGATTTCTCTGCAGTGGTCTGTATATATCTGATATGGTATATTGTACTTGAACTAAAAGATTCTCACATCATTACATTTATTAGGTTTCTACATTGCATGACTTATCTGATTATTATTAAAAGTCAATCATGCTGAAGGAGCCAATGAGAACTTCTTTTACATATGAGTTCTTTGGTGTCTTGTAAGGTTTGTACTCCGGTTGAAGGCTTTTCCACATTCATTACATTGATAGGGTTTCTCTCCTGTATGAGTTCTCTGGTGTACTGTAAGGGATGAATTCTTAATGAAGGCTTTTCCACACTGATCACATTCATACGGTTTCTCACCAGTATGAATTCTTTGATGCTCAATAAGGTATGCGCTCTGGCTGAATGCCTTTCCACATTCATTGCATTCATAAGGTTTCTCTCCAGTGTGAATAACCTGATGTACAGTAAGGGATGATCGTCCCATGAAATGTTTTCCACATACTATGCACTTGTAAGGTTTTTCTCCAGTATGAATTCTCCGATGTTGAGTAAGAGATGAATTCTTACTGAAAGCTTTTCCACACTGATTACATTCAAAAGGTTTTACTCCAGAATGAAGTTTCTGATGTTCTATAAGGTATGTACTTTGGCTAAAGGATTTCCCACATTTGTTACATTTGTAGGGTTTTTCTCCAGTGTGATTTCGCTGATGTAGGGTAAGAGTTGAGCTCTTACTAAAGGCTTTTCCACATTCACTACATTCATAGGGTTTTTCTCCAGTATGACTTCTCTGATGTACAATAAGATGCATGCTTTGACTGAAGGCTTTTCCACATTCATTACATTCATAGGGTTTTTCTCCTGTATGTGTTCTCCGGTGTACTGTCAAATTCATGCTTTGGGTAAAAGCTTTCCCACATTCATTACATTTGTAGGGTTTTTCTCCAGTATGAATCCTTTCATGTTGAATAAGAGATGAATTTTTACGGAAGGCTTTTCCACACTCTTTACACTGATAGGGTTTCTCTCCAGTATGTGTTCTTTGATGAACAGTAAGATTCATGCTCTGACTAAAGGCTTTTCCACATTCGTTACATTTGTAGGGTTTCTCTCCAGTATGAATTCTTTGATGTACAGTAAGCGAGGAGCGTTCAATGAAGTGCTTCCCACACATGTTACACTTATAGGGTTTCTCCCCAGTATGAATCCTGTGGTGCTTCAGAAGGGATGAGCTCTGGCTGAAGGTTTTCCTGCACTCATTACATTCATAGATTTTCTTTCCTACAAACATTCTTTGAGTTTTAGTTAATTCATAATTTTGTTTGGCATCTTTTCCATGTGAATTCCAATTGTGGGGCCTTTTTGCCATATGAATGCTTGGTTGTGTGTCAAGGTTTGAACCCTGACTGGAAAATCTTTCAAATTCATTACCTCCACATACCTTCCTCTCAGCAAGGGTTTCTTTATGGATAACTGCTACTTGGCCAAGATGTCTATCTTGTTTTTTTGTTGTTGTTGTCCCTCTAACCAATTATCAGGCTCCCAGGTTTTCCCTAAAGTAGAATGCCAGAGAACTTCTCTTTCCATTATTACCCCATGGGATAAATCTTCAGTAATGCTGGGCTTTGGAGTTGACTCTTTGGTTTCAAGACGTGTCTCCCAGTCTGAAAAAAATAAAAAAATTCAGTGCACACTTCTGTACTGGGAAACTGAAAACTATATAAGGTGGGAATAAGAGAATGAAACTAGAATAACTACTGGGAACATTTGAGAGCTTTCAAAGATGTCCCTACCAATAGAGAAATTGCAAAGAAGGGAATGAACACTGAACTGGTCCACAGGTAACAGGGAATGGCAGATCCATTGTGTAAGTAGAGAAAAGAGTGAGCCCATTCAAGAGGGATGGACATTGAAATCCCTGACCGGTGGACTAGGCTAAATAATGAAGATGGCCCTAAGGGAAAATATACAGAAGAACTAGGATTGGAAGAGGACAATTAGAGAGCCCTGCCATACTGTACCTGGTATTCCTACCAGCAGTTTCTTCCCTCTTGCAAAGCTGCCTAGAGTTCTACACCAAGTTAATCCTCATCAAATATCACAGTGTGACGCAGTGAAAAGACTGCTGAGCTGGCATCAGACAAATCTGGATTCAAATCCTAGCTCTTAACACCATCTTATCTAGTTACTTGTCTCTGAGTCTGAGCTTTCACATATATAAAGGATAAAAATAATCTGATCAGGAATAAGATAATGTGTAAAAACTACACTTTGGAAACATACTCATCTGGACCAGAACATACTTGAAACTTAAACTCTTAAGGGAGGATGACATAATATAAAAGCTTTTTTCTCTTAAACTTTCAACAAGCTGTAATTTCCTCACAAGGGTAAGAGAGTTTTAAAGGGCTCTGCCCTTTCCTAAGTATCCATTCCTTAAAGATGAGAGCTGGTGGCAAAGACAGGCTGAACTGCCTGAGAGGAGCTGAAGGAAGAACCTTGTAGCCACTCAGACTTTATTTTCTCAGATCCACTTTCTTATCCCAGATAAAACCAGGGGCAGAAGATAGGAACTACGATCTGAGAATCAGCCTTATGACTGCTGATCAAAATCAACAGAGCAGAGATAAACACTGAACCAAAAACCCAAAGCCTGTAAGTATAGGTTTTACTGTGAGGCCAGAGGCATCAATTAACCAGGCCCCTTCCCTCCAACCTGACCTACTATATAAAAAGAAAGAAAAAAGGCCGGGCATGGTGGCTCACGCCTGTAATCCTAGCACTCTGGGAGGCCAAGTGGCGATTGCTCGAGGTCAGGAGTTCGAAACCAGCCTGAGCAAGAGTGAGACCTCATCTCTACTATAAATAGAAAGAAATTAATTGGCCAACTAATATATATATATAGAGAGAAAAATTAGCTGGGCATGGTGGCACATGCCTGTAGTCCCAGCTACTCAGGAGGCTGAGGCAGAAGGATCGCTTGGGCCCAGGAATTTAAGGTTGCTGTGAGCTAGGCTGACACCACAGCACTCACTCTAGCCTGGGCAACAAAGCGAGACTCTGTGAGAAAAAAAAAAAAAAAGGAGACGAGAGGAAGGAAGGAAGGAAGGACGAGGAGGAGAGCGAGAGGAGAGAAGAGGAAGAAGGAAGGAAGGAAAAGAAGGAAGGAAGAAGAGTTGGAGAAGAAGAAGAGAAGGAGAAAGGAGAAGGAAGGAAGGAAGGAAGGAAGGAAGGAAGGAAGGAAGGAAGGAAGGAAGGAAGGAAGGAAGGAAGGGTGGCAAGTCAAGCAGGCTTCACATCCAAAACACACACTACTAGGTAACCCCAAAGAGAGGACCTATCCAATTGAGTATGAAAATATCAGCAGAAAACACATAAATTGGAGGCTGCCTCTTGCCCCACCTCACTATGGTCACATCCAGCTATCTAACTCAAGTTCGCTGGGAACATGAACTCAAGTTCACTAGGAACAAGTTCACTGGTAAAGTGATACCCAGTAAATAACTGAAACAGCAAAGGAGAATCATTCACACTATTAGACAAATAAAAGACCAGATAGAACTTCCTTTATTCAAAGATAGATGATACCCAGAACATACTCAGTTTGGAAATTATGTAGAGGTCAAGGAAATAAATTTTAAAAATAATAAAAACAGGAGAACAAGAAGAAAAGAGAAGCATAAAAACCAAAAGGGAGAATAAGTGCTTCCAGTCATCAAAAGACAACATAAAGAAAACTAAAAAAAAACATGCTACCTACTGGGAGAAGATGTTTACAGCACATGACTCACAAAGAATTAGAACCTAGACCTGCAAAAACAATGTCTGTGAAACACTAAGCCCACTAGAAAAATCGGCAAAAAGACTTGAACAAGCACTTAAGAAAAGGAAACGCAAATGGTATGTAAACATAAGCAGAAATGCCCAATCTCAATAGTAACCAGGGAAAGGTGGATGAAAGCCACAATGAGATATCATTTCTACGTCCACCTGAGGAACAAAATGTAAAAATTCAGAGTGATAACTTTAGATTCTAGAAAGGTATGTGGTAATGGGAACTTTCACATACTGCTGGTGGGAGTGCAATTTGATTCAAGTATTTGAAAAATGTTTTAGTACAACTTAGAACAGCCACATAGACTATGATTTAGCAAATCCACTTCTAGGTACATATACTTAGGTAAGTCTGCCTTGCAGCAGTATATACCAGGACTCAATTTTTTAAGTAGCAATGTGCACAGTAGCAAAAAATTAAAAACACCCCAAATGTCCATCAGTAAGAGAATGGACAACTAAATTGTCAAGTATTTATAAAATGGAATAATTGACAACAGTGAAAATTAATATGAATGAATAATTTAAGGAAAGGCACAGAAAATACATATAGTAAGATTCCATTTAGATAAAGTTTTAAAAGTTTTAAAATAGATGAAAACCAAATATATTGTTTAAAGATGCACTGATACATGACAATACTATAAAGAAAATAAAGGAAAGGGAATTATCACAGAAGTCAGAATAGTGGTTACATCTTGGGTAGAGGTAAGAGGATGTGAATGAGGAGATATACATAAAGCATTTCCAAGACACTAGCAATGTTGTTTCTTGATCTGGGTTCTGGTAGCTGGGAGTCTGCTTTCTTTATTCTTCATTAGTCTTTATCATTATGAACTATAAAGAGAAGCAGTATGGCATGGTGGTTAAGATAACAACTCTGAAGCCAGATTAGCTGGCTCAAATTTGAGCTCCACAAGTATTTCTGTGTGACCTTGGGCAGGTTTCTCAACCTCTCTGTGCTCCAATTTTTTCATCTGTTAAATACCTATCTCATAGTGTTGATATACGAACAAAAATTAATGTTTCTAAAGAGCTTATGAGAGTATATAGGTTTTTGTTAAATAGTACATATATTTTACATACTCTTTTGTATATATATTTCAAAAATCAAATGGGAAAAAGAACAAGGACGTATTTGCTATTCTGGAAAGTATTAATCATTTTAAGTTCAAACATCCTTCTGTGCTACAGAAAACTTAACAGCAGTTATTCACTATTATCTTTATGGAGTTTAGAGACCTAATTTAAAAGTTAGTTTTAAGGAAAAAAAATAGATTACCTACACAGATTTTTAAAAATGGCCTAAGAGATTTTCCTAGGAACACAGGATGCCCAAAGGCAATGGAGCCACATCTGCAAGGATTGAGGAAAGACTGATGTGAGTCAAGAATTCAGCCTGGCAAAAATATACGCTGGGGAAAAGAATCCCTTTTCAATAAATGGTGCTGGGAAAACTGGATAGCCACCTGTAAAAGGCTAAAGCAGGACCCACACCTTTCACCTCTCACAAAAATCAACTCATGCTGGATAACAGACTTAAACCTAAGGTATGAAACTATTAGAATTCTAGAAGAAAATGTTGGAAACACTCTCCTAGACATCAGCCTAGGCAAAGAGTTTATGAAGAAGTCCCCAAAGGCAATCAAAGCAGCAACAAAAATAAATAAATGGGACATGATGAAACTAAAAAGCTTCTGCACAGCCAACGAAACAGTCATGAAAGTAAACAGACAACCTACAGAATGGGAGAAAAATTTTGCATCCTACGTATCCGATAAAGGGCTGATAACTGAAATATACTTAGAAACCACGAAAATCAGCAAGAAAAAATCAAATAACCCTATTAAAAAGTGGGCAAAGGACTTGAACAGAAACTTTTCTAAAGAAGACAGAAGAATGGCCAACAAACATGAAAATATGCTCATCATCTCTAATCATCAGGGAAATGCAAATCAAAACTACAATGAGATATCACTTAACTCCAGTGAAAATGGCCTTTATCAAAAAGTCTCCAAATAACAAATGCTGGCGTGGATGCGGAGAGAGAGGAACACTCCTACACTGCTGGTGGGACTGCAAACTGGTTCAACCTCTGTGGAAAGCAATATGGAGATACCTTAAAGCGATACAAGTGAATCTACCATTTGATCCAGCAATCCCATTACTGGGCATCTACCCAAAAGATCCAATGACACTCTACAAAAAAGACACCTGCACTCAAATGTTTATAGCAGCACAATTCATAATCGCAAGGCTGTGGAAACAGCCTAAGTGCCCATCAATCCAAGAATGGATTAATAAAATGTGGTATATGTATACCATGGAGTACTATTCAGCTCTAAGAAACAATGGTGATATAGCACATCTTATATTTTCCTGGTTAGAGCTAGAACCCATACTAGTAAGTGAAGTATCCCAAGAATGGAAAAACAAGCACCACATATATTCTCCAGCAAACTGGTATTAACTGAGTAGCACCTAAGTGGACACATAGGTACTACAGTAATAGGGTATTGGGGAGGGGGGCGGGTATATACATATATAATGAGTGAGATGTGCACCATCTGGGGGATGGTCATGCTGGAAACTCAGACTTGTGGGGGGGAGGGCATTTATTGAAACCTTAAAATCTGTACCCCCATAATATGCTGAAATAAAAATAAATAAATAAATAAATAAAAATAAAAAGTAGTACAATTTAAAAAAAAGAAAAGAAAAAAGAATTCAGCCTGGCCAGTACACTATGCATGGGTCGAAAAGACAAAAACACATTTTAAGCATGAAAGATTCAGTAATTACAGTGCTCCCAAACAATTCCTGAACTATT